TTTCATTAGATTTCCTAAAGCTAAAGGTATTTGGGATGCCATTTCCACAACCTATTTTGATGGAGGAGATAATGTCCAAGTATATAGCCTAAAATAAAAAAAGTTAGCCGAAACATACAAAGAAAGGTTTCTCTAAAAGACTACTATACTTGCTTACAATCTTTCTAGCGAGAGATTGACTATAAACGCCCAAATTCCATGACGTGTGATGAGGACATACAAAAATACAATAAATTAATTCAAGAAGATCTAATTTATACCTTCTTGGGTGGTTTGGATGATCAATTTGTTCAGACTCACTGCTACATTCTTCAATAGATCCCCTTACCATCGATCTAGCAAGCCTTCGCTCAAGTGAGAAGAAAGTACACTACACGAACCATAATGATAAAGAAAAAAAGAGAAAGATAGATTTAGTCTACTAACAAGAGGTAGGGACATGAACTGGGGTAAGATAAGAAGTGGAGGCATGATGAACCTTGGGCTATATAATGACAAAGTTGTCAAGAATGGCATGAACAATAGGATGACTAATGGGGGCTGTAATGATTTCAACAACCTCACTCTCACAAGCCTGAACAGATGGGCTAGACTTGGTGGTAACTCGTCGAAACCATTTCTTGGCCCATAATCATCTAATAAATAGACCCTTTTGCCCAGGCCTAAATCCCAGCAAGCTAATTTTTTCTAGACCGAAAGCCAATAAGGAAAGGTGCACTCATTATGACAGAAATAAACACACCAAAGATACGTGTTTTCAGCTACACAAGTATCCAGAGTGGTGGTATGAATTGAAAGGAAAAAAAACGAACAAAATGGCCATGCAACATTTGTTACTAATACAAATCCAAATACACCTGTGTCACTTAATACTCAACCTCAGTCTATAACTCAAGACCTATTTATTATTGATTCCATAAACTTCGTATCTAATGATGAACATGTAAACAATTGGATTATTGACTCAGAGGTGACATATCACATGACCTTTGATCATAATAACTTTAAAACAAATCTAATTTCTTGATGAAAGGCCATATCAAATGCCAACAGTGATATATATCCGGTAACAAGGGGAGAAACAATGGAATTATCAACCACATTCACTCTCCCTAATATTCCTTTTATTCCTTCACTCTCCGCTAAATTACTATTAGTAGGGCAAGTAATATAAAATTTAAATTATTGCATATTGATGTACTCTTCATTTTATTTGTTTTAGGATGTTCTTATGAAGAAGATTTTTTCCATGGTACTAAGAGTGGAAGGTTATATTCTGTGGATGATTTGGATGTTGGAAAAGTTTATTCCGCCCAATCACCACAACGACAAAGATAAGACATTTAGTTATGACATTACCAATTAGGACACCCATCATTCAACTATCTATAACATTTATTCTCTACTTTATTTGAAAATGTATTACTTTCTAGTTTCAAATACAAGGATTATACCCTAAGTAAAAGTCATCGAACAAATTACCCTATCAGTTATAATAAATGCAATGTATCATTTGAGATTATTCACTCTGACTTATCAGGTCCTGCACCTGTTATGATTACTAATGGCTTTAGATGGTTTATCACCTTTTTTTATGATTGTACGAAGGTCTTTTGGGTTTATGTATTGAAACATAAAAAAGATATCCTACCAGTTTTTCATAAATTTATCACCTTTATACAAACCAATTCTCTATACGCATTAAAACTCTTCAATATAATAATAAAGGTGAATTTATTAGCTAAAAGTTTACATAATTTTGTGATAGCAAGGGCATCATATATAAGACTACTTATTCATATACTCCTCAACAAAATAAAATTGCAAAATAAAAAAAATAGACACATATTGAAAACAACACATACCATAATAATAGTTGCCCATATACCCCAACAATACTGGCCTGATACCATGGGTATATCTATTTATTCTCTCAACTGCATGCCATCCCGAGTACTTAATCTTCACATACCACTCTAGACTTTAGAACAATATGTTAAACTACCTTCAACACTCCATGTACCTCTAAAGATATTTGGTTGTGTTGTATTTGTATATGTTCTAAAGCACCAACAATCCAAGTTAGATCCATATATTGGTCGTTGTGTCTTTCTTAGCCATGGTTCTTATATAAAAGGATACCGGTGTTATGATCCTTTACATGAAAACTCTATGTTACTATGGATATAACCTTTTTTTAGACCAAATATTTTTTCAATGAACCATCCCTGTCTATTCTTCAGGGGGAGAATAAACATGAACAACATATATAGGAATAGGTTTATCATGGACTATACTCAAACAGAATTAGTGATTACTAAGTAGGTCAACCACGTCGAATTATATACTTAAGCCATATCAAATAACCCCTCTCCAATATACAACACGACCAAAATCAAAATCATGAAGACAATCACGACATTACAACTAAGGTAAGATCTCTTGACTCTCTTACATTACCTGATTCTATGACATACAATTTACCTCAAAAGCATAATTAGAGAGTGCCCCCAAACTGGTACTCACCATAAATAGAAGGATGAAAATTCAAATACTCTATTGAAAATTTTATCTCAGCCAATAACATATTAGATGCAAAAAAGTCTTTATAGAAAAAATATCTTTAGAACATGTACCATGAAGCATTGAAGAATTCATGCTAGATGAACACTAGAAGATGGTTATCTATGATGAAATGAAGGCTCTCTAGAATAATAATACTTGGAAACTATCTATATTGCCAGATAGGAGAAAAAATATTTGGATGCAAATGGGTGTTTATCGTGAGATATAAAGCAAATGGAACAATAGAACAATACGAAATGAGACTAGTAGCTAAAGGATACACACAGACATATGGCATAGACTATTAGGAAACATTCTTACCAGTAGTCAAACTGAACATAATTCAGATACTTCTATCACTTATAGCAAACCTAGACTAGCCTTGACATCAATTTGATATAAAGGAATGTATTTCTTCATAGAGATCTAGATGCGGAAGTGTATATGGATGTCTAGATGAGGAAGTGTATATGGATGTTCCTCCTAGTTTTGCTAGAAGAAAATATGATGTGCAAGCTTACAAAATCACTTTATGGACTGGAATAGTTTTTTAGAGCATGGTTTGAAAGATTTAGTCTAGCAATGCGAAAGCATAAATTTAGCCAAAGCAACTCGGAAGTAATGGGGGGAAATAATAGCTTTGATTATTTATGATAATGATTTGATAGTCACAAAAAATGATGAAGAAGAAATTTTAGAATTATAAAGGTATCTAGTATGTGAAGTATGTGAATTTGAAATGAAGAATCTTGGTGAGTTGCAGTATTTTTTGGGTATTAAAGTATATAGATCAAAATTGGGCATATTCTTCTCACAAAAAATAATGAAGAAGTAATTTCAGAATTATAAAGATATGTTGCATTGTAAACTTATGGATACACTAATCATACAAAATTATTATTTAGCAGGATATCTAAATCAAGTTCCCATAAATAGAAAATGATATTAAAAATTGGTGGGAAGACTCATTTACCTTTCTTATACATGTCTTGATATCATATATGCAATCAGTCTAATTAGCCAATTCATGCACAACTCAAGTAAAGTATATAGAGGTAACAATATGAGTACTTATATACTTAAAATCCTTTTCGGGATGAGAAATTCTTTTCTCAAAGAATGATCACCTTAACATCATTGGTTATACTAATACAGACTAGGCTCAGAATCTAACTAACAAAAAGTCTACGTTAGGCTACTTTACCTTTATTCGGGGAAACTTGGTGACCTAGAAAAGTAAGAAGCAAAATATTGTTGCTCTATCTAGTGCTGAAGCAGAATTCAAAGGATACCAAAGGATTATTTGAAATACCATGGATAAAAGGGCTACTTAAGAAGCTAGGATATTTTATAGGAATTCAGATCAAGATGTACTACAACAAAAAAGCCATAATTGCTATTGCCAATAATCCAGTTTAATATGACCGAATTAAACACGTGGAAGTAGATAGACATTTCATTCATCAAGCAGAAACTCAATGAGAAGATCATAATTTTTTTTTTGTTAAATTTGAGGATCAATTAGTAGATATACTTACTAAAACAGTATCAAGTAAAATGTTTCATTGCTCTCTCAACAAGTTTGGCATATGAGATATATTTGCACCAACTTGAGGGGAAGTATTGACAAGAACTAATTTAGCAATCAAATATTACAAAATAGAAAAACTAGAAATAAAGAATAAGTTTAGGAAAGATTTTGGTATATTTCTATTCTTAGTTTTCCATCTTTAAATTAGATTGTGATTGTACATGTATAATACAAGTTCTATGCAAGAAAAAAACATCATTGTGAATTTATGCAAACAATTATCTTTAAACTACCTTAATATTGTTGCAATAATAACCAATAAAAAAAATGATAATAGGCTCGCTGACATAAGTTTGAGCCGAGCAAGAGAAAAACCTTTGAAAGGCCTCATTATGTGTAAGACAATACTTCTCCTTCTTTTTTTTTTTAAAAAAAAACTTTCTTTAACAATTACAACTTTTTAATTTCTTACTAGCTCTTTTATTTTTGAATTGCTGTAATAATTTTTTAATTCTTAAATTTATTTCATGCTTAGGTATTACATGTTAGCAACCAATATATATCATGCATTATTACACTCAAAGTGTGCCGAAAATCATTGTAATTTCTTGTCTTTGGAAAACTTGTTAGTATTTCCTTTCATTCTTGATCTAACTGTTTTTGTGATTTTTATTTTAGAAAAAGAACTTGTTAAATCTTAGAAGATAACCTTGTTAAATATCTTTAAAGACATTATCTGTACACACAGCTCAAGTTTTATTAATTTTCTTTTGCTTTGTCATATTTTATTTACAAAATATATGCTAAAATGTAAAGTGCAAAAATAATATTTATGTTGGGTCAAGTTTGTATGTATCAAACATGTTGCCAAAAAACATAGAAAATGGCATGCAAAATTTATAAATAAGCATAAAAACTACATTTCTCTTTAAATATTTTACTTGATAAACAACATCTCAGACCCAACCAACCACAAGTAGTTTTACACGATTTATAATCCTGGAGATGCCTTTTTATCAATTATGCAGTATTTTCATACAATTTGTGTCCATTTCATGGATACAGACACAAAGTAATTAACACTATAATTATATATGTAATAGCAAATATACTTTGCTAATCATTAAAACTCAAATCACAAAACAAGATCGAGGTGATCTGAATCATCCACGTGTCAAAGAACCAACACCTCTAGCGATCTCATGCGTACTTGCAACAGCATTGAATCCTAAGCACCCCAAAAGACCTTGCTTGTAAGGCAAGAACGTTTTCCTTCTCATTTCCTCTGAAACAGCCCGGTTCACTGTGTAATGCACCTCATGAGCTGATATAGGCCCTGATCTCCTCCTGGCACTCCCTACACTATCCGTGGATCGAAAGCTAGAATTCTTGACATCCTCTGTCCCTTCTTTTTTGGACATAACTGAAAATCTTGTTAGCTCATGATTGCAACTTGTTGTTCTGCTACCTTCTGATGCGCTTCTGAATAGCAATAAGTCCTTTAGCTTCCATTTCTTGTACCTTTTCGACGTGAATGACATCGCGGATAAGATAGAAGATGTGTGAGATGATTTGGGGGTGCTTGCTTTTGAAGCAATAGAATTTGAATTCTGGGAATTCTCTTCTTGGTCAAACATGATGTCTGAAACTCTATCGTTCCTGCTGTTGTCTTCTCTTTGGTTCTTGGATTTAGGAGTTCCAGGCTTCTCTTCCCAGTCAAAAGGGATCATTGAAGAAGATGAATTTGTAGAAAGAGTAACATCATTTAGCTCCCTGTAGAAAGAAGAAGTACGAGTGGGGCTTGTTGGGGCACTCAAGAAGAAGTTTCCAAATCTTTGAGGACTTGAAGGAGCTGTCATGTAAGGAGAAGAACAAGTGCTATCGAAGTTGAAGTCCACAGGTGGCACTGGCATCACAACTTCCATTTCCATTGATGGGGTTGCCGGTTGTGTGCCAAGGTTGGTTTGTGCGAGTTTTGGGGGCTGCCAAGTTTGAGATCGGTTGAATTGTGTGGATTTATAGAGGGAGTGAGAAAGACATTAGAGGAGGAGGGAAGGAAAGGGAGGGAAGGAGGAGGGAAGGAGAGGGGGATTTGACTGGAGAGGGAGATTTGTCATGAGTTCAGTGTGGAGGCGGCTTTATAAAATCTATTGGTTTGCTTGCATATTTATTCAAGCGTGTGCGCGCGAGCTCGCGCGCGTGCGTGTCACAAATTGTAATTGTCTTTTCATCATCGATGTTGTGTTGGTTTTACTCTCCAGTTATCTACCTTTTTACTTTACTTTTTCAACCAACGTAATTTTCGTACAATATATTTGGAGTTATCACAACTGATATGATTTAAAATATTTTATATATATATATATATATTATTTTTTAAAAATTTTTTTGATATCAACACAATGATATAAGAATATATAAAATAATTTTCAATAAAAAACTAATTTTTAAAATTTTAAAAAATATAATTTGCGTTGTTTTTTTTAAAAGATATTAAATTTTTTTATTTATAATTAAAAAAATCATAAATATCCGCTTATAACTTGTTTTAGTAAACATTTTGTGTGGCAGTTGAATTATTATTTTGTTATTTAATTTTTGATTATTTTTTATATTATATAGGTTTATATATTAGTTTAATGTATTTTTAAATAATTTAAAAAGCAACCTAACCTAATAGATAAATTATAATGTTTTTTTTTTCCCTGGCAAGAACTGCAGTTTGAAGTCTAAAACAGGGAGCCAACAACATTATCCTTCACATGGGACACAAAAGTAGTGGAATTTGGATTTGAGTAAAATCTTAGAAAGCAAAAATAAATAAAAATATGTGTGAATCAGATTCTTTGGAATATGGTGAAGTAAAAGGACAAATGAAGTTTAGGAAAGGGGCATAGTTGTCTTTACACTCAAGAGAAGTTCCCGTCGTCTTAACTCAAAAGGCTACCTAAAATTTGTGTTCCCATTATGGTTTCCAGTGTGTTTCTCATGAGCCTGTGCGACAAGTCTGTCATTATTTGCATTGGATCATTGGGACTGCTTGGCCCTCTTCCCACCACAATAACAATAATATTATTTTATTTTATTTTATTTATTTTCTATTTATTTTTTAAATTTTAATTAAGAGTAACAATTTCAGCGGATAGATACTAACATAACCCTATCCGAATTGATAGATTATTATCTTATCTGATATATAATAAATAAATTATGAATATTATTACACTCAATTCAAAACTCATCCAAATCTAATATAAAATATAAATTAATAGAGCATTTAGATTTTTAATATAATATGATATATACACACACATCTTAATATTGATATAAAATACATATATATATGAATAATATTTATTATTTTATTATTTAATGCACATCCATACACTGTATATATGTATAGATTAATAAATAATAGTAAATAATAGATACTCGTATGAATTTTTACAGGACAAATAATAAAAAATAATAAATAAAATATAAATATAAAACAACCCAATCCACGGATTAATGGTTTCTTTAAAGGGATGTTGAAGTTAAAAACTGGTCAAATATCTATGGCCCTTGTTATCAAGATGCAGCTGGTTGGCAAGCAGATTTAAGTTTTTTTTTTACTGTGTTTGATCGGAATGCAGTGTGCGTGTAGCAGAAGAAACATCAGTCTTGGTGTTTTAGGTTTACTGTAACGTAAGCTGGACGGTCCCTCTCATTCCTCCCTGTGTCTTCTTTTCTACCATGTTGTGGCATGCAACACACTCTTTTATTACCCTCTTCTTCTTGTTTTCTTAAGAATCTTAATCACAACAATTCATCGGCATTAAGATTTAAGGTTGTTGTTGCGATGGATCTCTATCAACTCTAACTAGTTTGGATTAAACTGATCGGTATAATAGATGTCGACAGCAGAGAGTTGTCGACTGCAATTTACTCATACTTCCTTGGAGTATGCATAACATTGCTTGATGTCTGGTCATCTGATGTAAAATCTTCCCCATGAAGTGACAAGGAATTAACAGCAATCAGCACTTGTAAGGCCACTGGGTAAATCGGATTGAAAACAGAAGCATGGTCATCTGCTCCAATTTTTGAGTTTTGGTTGGGTTTTAATGGATGGTTTTGGGAGGCCTGAAACTTTTCCCTTCTCTCTTTGTTTGATTTCCTTTTCATTAGCACTTGGATTCTTTGGGGTCCTGGTTTCAATTTTGTTTTTTACATGAGTGTATGAGTTTGTATTAATGGTATTTTTTATTTTAAAAAAATTATTTTTGATATTAATACATTAAAACAATATAAAGATAAAAATTTTTTTACGTAAAGTAAAAAATATTATATTTTTTAAAAATATTTTTTAAATAAAAAAATAAATAAGAATGTCTCTTGGTGGTTTTCTTACTTCATTTTTTGTATTAATATTAAATTAAGTTTTTCTTATTATATGTATGATTATTAAATCAGCTTAGTTGAGAGCGTTAAATTTGATTTTAAAGTGAACTAAGTTAATATGATAGGTTTAGTTAACTCGGATAAGATCCGAACATTTCGACATGAGAAATTTTTATTTTTTATTTAAAATAATATCATTTTATTTTTTAAAATAATCTTATTAAAACTTAAATATGTTGCCCTAGAAAAATCTACCAATACACCACCACTAAATTATATTAATCGTGGATAGGCACACAACTGGAAAAGAAAAAAATCAGCCAACGACAACAATTTATTTTTATTTATTAAACTTGAATTTTAGAATCGTTATTTTAAATGCATCTTGTCATGAAAATGTGTTTTTAATATCATTTGGGTAAATAAAAATTTTGAATTTTAATCAATCAAGCTGCTTGCCGGTTTATTTGATTTTTATAGTAATACAGAAGCATGTGGGCTGGCAAATTGGAGCTGGAAGTCTTGCATAGTGTCCGTCCTCTCAACTAATCCTTTCCTCCTTTGTTTTTAGTCTACCAACCCCAATTTTCTTTGTTTTTCAAAATTCCTTTGGTCTGGTTATTATAATTGTTCCACAGTTGTTTCCCTCTTCTTTGCTCTTCTTCTATGCATGATGTTGAGGTCATCTAACACCAATTAATCTAATAGCAAATTGGCGTTGGTTTGCTTGTAAGGCCTCTCTCTCATGGAGAGAACAAGAAAAACATACAAGAGCATTTAAATTTTTTAAAGAGGGACTTATGGTGGAGCAAATCTATTTTTTTCACCAAAAAAGAAAAGGGAAGCAAAATAGTCTCGATCGAGGGGCCACTCAATGCGTATAATTTCTCCCAATGCATGCTAGATTATTCTAAATTAAGCAATCTTTTCCATGCAATCGTTATAATATGTTATCCTTGTAATTAATGGAGTGTATGCAGTATTTGACTGGGTAACAAATGTATAATATAGTGGTAGGTGGGCTGCAATAGTAATTCGCGAAATATAGCTGCATGGTTTCTCATAATCTTCCATTAATGACACTTTAGAGACCGAAGATGAGATGATGTAATTGAGATTTGACCCACGAAAACTATAAAGAAATCGATACAATATGCAGAAGCATGTGATGAAATTAGTGTTCGTCGAGCTTTTTCCATGAAGTTTCGTTGATAGGGAGCTAGAGGGTGCTTGTGCATGAACCGTTTTATAGTGTAGAATAAGGTGGTGGTAATTAATATCTTATATTAGCTGACAAATTATTTTAAATGCTAAAACTTTAACCAAACCTTCTCTTAAAATAATGATATGCCAAGACTTCAAAAAGATTAATTGACTATCTTTTTTTATTTTATTTTTTTGAACGGTCGGTTTTAAAAATACAATCACTTCATTGTTATATTAATATATTAAAAGAATTTAAATTTGTTTAAATTATGAACGTCAAGTGAAACTTCTTTGAATGATTCAATAAGAGAGGGGTGTGTGTTTTTATACTATTCTAGATGTTAGGATACGTTTTTTTGCCACGAGTTTCATTTCCTTCCAAGAACGACGTCGAAGAGTTCTCCTAATTAAAGGAATATTATTTGCTGGCTGAGAACGACGAAGAGTTCTCCTAATCAAAGGAATATTATTTCAGTGATGGACGGTAGTGATGCAAAACGACAATATTTTTCATATGCGCAAAAAAATATTTATGTTTATGTTCCAGTTTATTGAACTGCGTAGAACCTGATTGGAATGAGATAAAGGGAGAGAGTGTGAGGAATGTTATTTTTAAAATATTTTTTATTTTAAAACATTAAAACGATTTAAAAATATATAAAAATATAATTTGAAGTTAAAAAAATTTAAAAACAGTATTGAACTGTAATGCTAAATGGACTTTATATTATTGAAATGCAAAAAATAAAGAAGTTCCACTATTTTATGGTTAAACATAACAATTTACCGATAAGTATGTGCTAGTAAATAAAACTGTTAAAACTAAGACTTGAATGAGATTTTAAATATTTAAAGATTTAACAATTTGTGTAGTGATATAGTGACTACTACAAGAAAAATTATCTATAAAAACTTTTGAAAATATTTAAATTTAATTTAACAATTGAATAAAAAATTATGATATTTTAAGTCATCATTTTAATATAGTATGATTAAACCTCATCTAAAACCTAAACCTATCTTAATGATAAATAAATATATATGCTAAAACATTTATTCAATCTATCTATAACAGATAATGGTAGATGTATATTTATCTGCTTAGGATCACCTATTGGCTGCATGCATCATGGATTTCGAGGTCTTGCGCCGTCTTTGTTTTTTGTTCTGCCATAGCAAATAATTGTCGTCAAGGTGTATAATGTAAAGGACTATAAGATCCGACGAATACTTGAGAGACCTGAGAGAGCCACAACAACAATTGAGTTTGATGTAGTAATCTCTAGTCTTTAGCACATGCTATAGAACATGAATTACATTAACAGAGTGAAGGCTT